CTCTCTCCTATAATCTTGAATAATTACAGTCTGTCACTTGAGGCAATTACAGCCCAGTTTGGCATTCACTGAAAACTCTGCCATTCTCCCTTTACAGCTCCAATCAAGAAAAGCAAAAGCAATAGAGTTTAATAACCCATAATGATTCTTCGTGGCTTATCACCACCAGCAGCAAGATTTCTCGGACTTGAGAGACAACAGGAAAAATAGAATTAAAATCCTGCATGGTTACATGAACTTCAGACCCTTTCATTATATAGCAACTCGGCGGCTGATTGCTGTTTGCAATTCTTTGTGTCATCCCAATGAAATGAATAGTCCCACTCCAGAAGGAGGGCTCTAAAAACAGGTCCCTTCAGAGTCTTCGTTTTTCCCCTGCAAATAAACATAGGCTGCTTTGGTTAAACAAAAAAAAGTGCTTTAAAACCATTGAAATGAATGTAGGAATAATCAGACTCTGTTTAATTGTTTTGCTTTCAAGAAGATTCTACTCACACCTGTCCTATCATACAGTTCCTCGGAGTTGCATTTACCCCATTTGATAGAGGAGACTTACAAACGCAGGAATTAAATTTAATGGTAGAGCTGAAGCTTTGCCTTTTGGAAAAAGATCTCCAATATACAATTGGCCCCAATCCTGCTGGCCTTTTATTCTAAAACCACAGTTTTTTCAAATGTTAAGGCCAGATTGACTGGAGTTGCCAACCGGAGGATTCTGGGTTCCTGTTAATTAATCCTTGTTGTTTTTAATTGCATTTTTCCCTTGCTTGTTGGTTGAAGCCCACCCAGAATCACAACTGCTTGAGCTGGGTGACCATATATATTCCTCACATTGTATAATCAGGAATTCAATAATTCCTATAGGGGAAAGAAACCAAGAAGGAGCAAAGCTCTTTTATTATGTGAGGTTTAAAAGCAAAACAACAAAAAGAACTGTGATGGCCCAGGGCTTAGAGTGCAGTACTACAGGCTACTTCTGCTAACTGCCGGCTGCCTGTAATTTGGCAGATCGAATCTCACTAGGCTCAAGGTTGACTCGGCCTTCCATCCTTCGAGGTGGGTAAAATGAGGAGCCAGATTGTTGGGGGCAATATGCTGACTCTGTAAACTGCTTAGAGAGAGCTGTAAAGCTTTTTAAAGTGGTATATAAATCTAAGTGCTCTTGTTATTGCTATTGCAAAATGAAAGAAAGACAAAAAGTTTCATTCACTTCAAAGTAAAGTGGCCCTTCTGTGACTTATGGAAGTAAATAATACCTTCAATACTAATCAGGACAAATTCTGTTAGGGACTTCTGGTGAGACCA